GCGCACCAAGTGAGGGAGGGGACACTACGTTCTCCGGGTAGCGCCGCCGAGTTCAGGTCACTAAGCCCCAGCGGCCGTCGGGTGCCGAGCACCGGGCGTGGTTTCGTGGGTAAACATGCGCTCGGTACAATGATTATACTGTTTCTAAGAGCTCTTGGTGGCTTGTTGAAAATACTATGGGTGGATATTGATCAGAAAAGAATACTCTTCCAATTTGCGAAAATTTGATTGCTACACGTTTGGGTACATTATCAATCGTCTCTGCCGGAACAGTTGCCCACCAGGGCAGAATACTGGACATCGCAGCTTTTATACAGGCACGGCTACAACTCCGTATATACGAAAGATACGGAGACGGTCGCTCAAGTCCATTCAGCGTTGGCTCCATCTCGACAGAATTGACGCAAGACGTAGGTATACAGTAGAGATGTCAATCGGATACCAACTTTTTGGTATACCGATACCAAACCGATACCAACTTGGTATTTGATATTTCAAGGCGAGTGCATTTGGTATTTTGTTGGTATTATGAATCCTCACTAATGTAAAAGAGGCTGAGAATTTGGTAAAAAGTTGGTATTTTCCTCATATTCCCAAGTCGGTTTGGTTTCGGTATTTTTCAATGGATATTGTTGGCATTTGGTTTGGTATCGGTATCACGATTTTCCGTAATTGACATCACTAGTATACAGAGTGTCACGAACTTGATACGCGGTTGGCGCGGTCTTGTCCCTCGATGCCCCTCTGAGTGCTGAATGGATGTAATTTGAACGGGTCTGGAAACAGGGCATCTCGACCAGGGCACTCGGCATCTAAATCGGCCATCCCCCGGTATCTGAAGATTTTACCCTGAAGCTGAAGCCGCTCAACCTCTGGCTGCAACCCTGACTTACCGTCATCCATAAGTGATGCAGCTGGATTTCGACAAAACCCACCAAATCTCGACCATTCAGGACTAGAGATTCAGACTTTTCAATGATGAGGCCGTGAGGCGATATTAGCCGTTTTCACAACGGCCATCTGGTACACATTTGGTTCATATCTGGTGCAGATTAGGTGCATATTTGGTCAAATTAGGTTCAGTGTGTCTCTTAGTAGCTATCAGCTTTGGTTGTTCTAATTGCTTATATGCCTCCTTTGTCATATTCAGCGTGCATCATCAGTAAAAACACAAATAAATTCATAAAATAAAGATATTTGCTGTAAAAGAGATTAGGTGCAGATTTCGTCAAATTAGGTGCACTCGCCGGATAGCCCGTCGTGAAAACGGCTATTAGAGCTCTTCTTAGTCACTAACCGATTCTACCGGATTCTCGTTTGGGGCATGATGGGCTACAGAGGCCTATTTGAGCTTCACCAGGTGCCGCGGGGACAGACCATGTGGCCGCTGATAACTTGTCAGCGAGGTGCTGGAGAACACTGACGCAACTACGATGCAATACATTTCGGGACACAAGTACAACATCCCGCAACAATTTCGCGACACCCTGTATTCGTGACCGTGGAATGTGTCACATCACACATGTGCCCACAACACATGTGAAATGTGTTGTGGGGTCAGTCGCAGTGGAACGGTTATGATCAACGCCTATTGTCAACAAAAACGGTGGAATAACTATGGAAACCCAGGCATTTTGCAAAATGCCTGGCGGGTCAGGCATTTTGTAAAATGCCTAGGCAGTTTGCAAAATGCCTGGTGGGTCAGGCAGTTTGCAAACTGCCTGGGCATTTTGCAAAATGCCTGGCGGGTCAGGCATTTTGCAAATTGCCTAGGCATTTTGCAAAATGCCCGAGTTTTCACTTTGCCTGTAACATATATATATATATATATATATATATATATATATATATATATATATATATATATATATATATATATATATATATATATATATATATATATATATATATATATATATATATATATTTATATTATATATATTATATCAGTAGGGTAAGGTGCCTAATTAGCAACCCTTTCCGATTTGCGACCTACCTCCCTACAGAAAAAGTGGCAGGAGAAAACGCGGTAAAACATCGTCAAAAGGTCAGCCATACTTTGGTTATCAAATTAAATTATTTTCCGGTCGTCGATGTTTCTGGTGGGACGTTTCAGGTGATTTTAAATAAAAATGACGAGTTTCTTTTCCAAAACGTGTGTGTTCGGGCCCTCTCTGATGAAAAGCGATGCACATTAGGATGATGCACCTTTTTATTCTGAATCGACATTCCTTTTTTAATTGATTGCCGTTTTCCCATAGCAAATCGCTCAACTGTGCATAGCATGGCGGTTAAAAATATGTCGCAACACATATTTCCTATTTGCGCCTGACATGGTCGCAAATAGCTCAAGAAGGTAAAGAAAGGGGAAAAGAGAGAAATGAAAATGAGGTGTTACTGAAGCTTGCAATGTGTGGCAGGGGATGCCAAATGTCGTCACCGACTGCAGGGGTGCCGAATTCAGCGCGGACCTCGAATATCATACAAGATAGCCTGCAAAATTTGGGTTTCCGCCTTCTTTTCGCCTTCGGTGCATCACGTGATCAGTTATTACTTAGGTAAATGTGTTGGATAAACGTTCCTGTTCGAGTGATTGAGTGCTTTGCGTATAGGTTACCTTTTTGAGATCATATTTCATCTTTTCAGGCGTCGCATTTTTTTGCCATTTTTAATATGGGGAAACCCATAGACTTATTACCGACCCTCCCCGGTCGCTAATCGGGAAGAGTTCCCTATTAGCGTTTTTTGCAATGGTTTGCCAAAATGCTCACTACAAATAAGTTAGTGAATATTGGGGCAGAAAATGACTATATTTTAATAGAAAAATGAACGATCTCTCCGAAAATCAAGCCAGTAACACAGTGGCACCCACAAAGCGTGAGCAATGACGGTTCAAATTAAGGGGGTCGCTAATTAGGCACCTTACCGTACCTATTATTTTAATATATCCAATTTTGTGCATTATTTGAACATTAACCCTCGCCCATGTAGGGGGGGGCTTGGTGCAACCCCCCCTGAGGTTTTTCTTAGCTACACGCCGAACCGTTTCAGATAGCCTGCTCAAATTTTCAGTACCCTATGGGGCATCCTTTGCACAACTTTTCGTATTTTTTTTGTCAAGGTCATGTCAGGTCACGGAGTTATGACGTCATAAAGGGAACAACCTCCGGCCAGATTTACGCTAAATTGGAGATTGCTTCACATTGGTATAAATGCCGACTGACCTGACACACTGATGGATTGTTTTAGAATCATAACTGGCTGATTTGACATTGGCACAATGTCCGTTGACATTTTGAAGGTTATTTAAGGTCAAGGTAAGGTCAGTGACCTCGGTTGACCTGTAATGACTTCTTGCACTTGTATGCCTTTTCGGGGTATTTTGATGCCCTGAATTCGAATTTGCTATCCATTTCAGGCATCGTCGGTTATTTCTTGTAGTTAATTTTAGGTCAGAGTCAGGTCAGTGACGTCACACGCCTGACGTGACCCAATGCACAAATGACCTTGCAGACTTCCGATGCTCCCAACGCATCATTTTTAGAGTTATGCCATCGAAATACACACCAAACGATAGAGAATTGATCAAGGATCACGAAAGTGAAGGTTTAAAGTCGATATCTCTAACCGTTTTGCCGCAATCGGCGCGGAAATCTGAAAAATTAGATTTTTTTCCGAAAATTTAACCTTTGACCGGTCATAAGTAGGTCAAATGTTGACCTAGGACCAAAAAATATACCACCAATCGCGAGATCTCGTTGAGAGCAATCCGTTGGTCTTTTCCGCTAAGCTCTACGACGCTCCGTTTTCAAACGCCAGGGGGGTCGCACCAACCCCCCCCCCCGCATGGGCGAAGGTGGCAAAACACCGTTTACGGGCGAGGGTTAATATGAGCAAAGGCTACTACTTCTCATATTACACAGTGCTGTGAGCTCTGTGGCTGGTATCGCTCGTCAGTTCAGTGCTGTGAGCTCTGTGGCTGGTATCGCTCGTCAGTCCAGTGGCGCCGCCTCCGGACAGGTGGGTGCGCCTGCCGCGCCGGGAATCGATCAGACCACGACATCGACCGGCGACATCGACCGGCGAGGGCCGCGCCGGCGTCACACGGGCCGGCCTACCGGACACCGCCGCTCCGGCACCGACATCGCAGCTGCCGAGAGGCGACACCAGCTGCCGAGAGGCGACACCAGCTGCCGAGACCGGCGGACGAGAGGCGACACCAGCTGCCGAGACCGGCGGACGAGAGGCGACACCAGCTGCCGAGAGGCGACACCAGCTGCCGGGAGGCGACACCAGCTGCCGAGACCGGCGGACGAGAGGCGACAACAGCTGCCGAGACTGGTGGACGAGAGGCGACAGCAGCTGCTGAGACCGGCGGACAAGAAGTGACAGCGTGTCTGATGCGATCTGTCCGAGCAGAAAAACTCGGTGTGTCCCTTCGGTGTGGGTAACAAAAGCTGATGCGCCCACCAAAGTACGGTTTGGCTTTCATTGAGCTATTGAAGAGTGAAAATGCGCGTGTCACAACACATTGATATGTGCTAATTTTTGTCAAAACGGTACCTGTGATTGACAGTAGTAGTTCTGCTAAAGGGGACGCTCTCTACCGTGGACTGCGCGCTGAATAAGAGTTCGTACGAGTATGAGCCACCGTCCTGCCTGACAGCTGAAGGCCTGAAGACCTGCCGTGGAGCGTTGCTGACGACAGACGCAGCCAGTGACCTGGGAGTCTCTCGGTGACACGGAGCGACCTAGAGTGTATCACCGACACGGAGTGTCCCCCAGTGACCCAGAGTGTCCCCCAGTGACACGGAATGTCCCCCAGTGACCCAGAGTGTCCCCCAGTGACCCGGAGTGTCCCTCAATGACACGGAGTGTCCCCCAGTGACCCGGAGTGTCCCCCAGTGATACGGAGTGTCCCTCAGTGACCCGGAGTGACCCCCAGTGACCCGGAGTGTCCCCCAGTGACCCGGAGTGACCGGTGGCCGGCGCGGGCGGACATGGTCCGCGTCTGTGTGGTCGGCTGCGGTACGCTCGGACTGAAGGTGGCCGGCGCGCTCAGCTATTTCGGCCACTCGGTGCGCGTGTGGGACCGCGACCGGGCCGCACTGGACTCGGCCCACGAGCGGCTGCGCCTGGACCGGTGCGAGCTGCGCCGCGACGGCCTGCTGCTGCAGCGCGCCGGCGCCGGCCGCGTCACGCTGCTGGCGCGCCTGGACGAGGCGCTGGCCGACGCGCGCATCGTCTTCGAGTGCGTGTCCGAGGACGCGGCCGTCAAGGAAGAGACGTTCGCGCGCCTGTCGGCCGCCGCCGCCGAGACGGCCATCCTGGCCAGCTGCACGCTGCGCGTGCCGATCAGCGCGCTGGCGGCGCGCGTGCAGCGGCCCGAGCGGGTGCTGGGCGTGCGCTTCCTGTACCCGGTGTACTACGTGCCGGAGGTGGAGGTGACGCCCGGGCCGGCCACCAGCCGCCACACCATGGACACCGTCACGCAGTTCCTCACGCACATGGGCCTGACGCCGTTCCTGCGCTGCGGCCCCGAGCCGGTGGTGCTCGACGACGAGCAGCGCGAGCAGCGACGCCGCTGGCGGCGGCAGCGGCTGGCGGCGGCCGCCGCTGGCGCCGCCAGCACCGAGACCCGCTACGCGCCCCAGCTGGCCTTCGTCGGCAACCTGGTGTCGGCGGCCGACGTGGCGCCGGCCGGCGGCGGCGCGCACGACTGCGCCGTCTGCATGGACGCGCCGCGCGACTGCGTCATGGCGCCGTGCCACCACCTGTGCACGTGCTGCCGGTGCGCGCGGCTGCTGCGCGGCAGGAGGGACGCCTGCCCCATCTGCCGGCAGCCCATACAGGACTTTATCCGGGTCTACATGTCTTAGAGTGAACTGGTATGGTACCTAGCCTATACCCGCTCGCTGCAAGAAAAAGAAAGAGAGCCTCGTTAAATGCGTGGTCAGTGATGCGCGACAGTCGGTGACTGAGATAGTCCCGGAGCCATTGTGTTACCTTCTTATGAGGAACCCCTTTAAGCGGCCATCCCAGCTTTACACCGACAAATTGAGCTGAGATGGCGATAGCCAAGTCGACGCAAACCTGGTAAAAATATCTACCAACCGTAGTATTCATTTAATTTTTATCAAACAGATGTTCATCTTTTTTCTAGCAGATGTACGTGTAAATTTCTTGGAATTTAACTTGAAAACGTTTAAACGGTTCCTTTTATGACCAGGGAGGCGGAATCATGGTAGCATTGTTCCGACTCCGCATTCGACTCCGACTCCGAACTTTCGATCTGCTCCGACTCCGACTCCGATTCCGAGTCAATGCACTGTCATGGCCAATGGGCGCAATCCTGAATTCCTGACTCACTTCGGTAGGGAGAGTTGTAACTTGTAAGCAGTGGCGTAGCCAGAGATCAGCGAAAGGGGGGGGGCATGGTGCTCGAGGGGGCGACTTTTTCCCTTAACCCTCGCACGACCAGGCCATTTCTCATAACACGAACGACCAGGGGGGGGGTTGTTACGATCCCCCCCTGGCGTTTCGAAACGGAAGGTCGTAGAGCTTAGCGGAAAAAACCAACGGATTGCTCTCAACGAGATCTCGCGATTGGTGGTATATTTTTTGGTCCTAGGTCAACATTTGACCTACTTATGACCGGTCAAAGGTCAAATTTTCCGAAAAAATCAAACTTTTTTTAACTTTGCGCAACGATTGCGGCAAAACGGTGAGAGATATTAACTTCAAACCTTCAACAACGTATTCCCCACTCAATTCTGCATCATATATGGTGTTTTTGGTGTATTTACCCTATAAAAGTAAGAGGCCTATTGCTGATGAGTGATATGGTGTCACATCACCCTCCGGTGTTTGTCCCGATTCGTCGGCTGTTGACCACTGCTCCGCTATAAATACTGTAGGTAACGACTCAGAAAAGTGTATTTCCAACTTCCAACAATGTGGATAGCATCAGCAGAAAACCTCGGGACTCGGTACACACTTCGTGAAAATCCGGCCGGAGGCTGTACCTCTTATGACGTCATAACTCCGTGACCTGACCTGACCCGGTCAATTTTCTTGCACCACACGATAGCCAATGCTTGCCCCAACATGCATGGGAAGTTTCATCATGATCCATCAAACAATGTGGGTATCACCGGCAGAAAACCTAGGGATTCGGCGCACACGTTTGGTAACTGTCGGCCGGAGGCTGTACCTCTTATGACGTCATAACTCCGTGACCTGACATGACCCGATCAATTTTTTTTCGGCAAAAGATGCGCAAAGGTTGCCCCAGAGGGTATTGAAAATTTCAGCCCGCTACGACAAGCCGTTTAGCGTGCACTTCGAAAAACCTCAGGGGGGGGGGGGTTGATACAACCCCCCCCCCCTAGGCGTTCTAGGGTTAAGAGGGGTGCCATTGTCAGCTAGTTCCGGGTCAGTCTAAAATGTAACGTGATGTTCATGCATGATTTACTAGGTGTTGCAAAATATGAGTACCTATAAGAACCAGCTTTCGCTGATTTTCATAAAATCCAATTAATGCAATTTGCAGCCCGGTGTTTTTTTTTTTAATAAAAAACCTTGATCTTTATGAATTTCTAGCATGATACCTATAGGAAACGAGCTCAGGCTACGGACATTTTATTCTCAAAATACGCATCCATGCGAATTCGAACCGGTAAAATAAACGTTGATCGATAGGCACAATCTTTATTCTTTGCAAAAAAAAAATATATATATATACAACCTCACTCACTGATCCAAAGTGACCAGTGGGCTGCAGCCTGTGGTCGACCGGGGTGGCCGTGCTTAGAATCTCAGACCGCACGTAAGGGAAGTTGGGGCAATGCCAGAGTTGGGGCAAAGCCGAAATTCGAGATATTTCGAAAACCGTAAGACATGGATGACACCTGTCAGTGATGCTCTGAAGCTTAAGTGACTTCAATTATCGCATGTTTGTTACGAGTCGTCATTCGGAATACTTCGGCTGTGAGGGCGCCAAGAGCGTTTTCAAGGTACGCGTTCCTTGTACTACATGCGCCTTTGAAGCTGCATTTCTTACTCATTATTACTCACCGACACAACGGCCTGTTACCTATAAGGAATTATTTACCTGGCATTTTCTTATTATATCACACAATTATAACTTCCAGTGTGCACCAAGCGTCCTCAAGCTCTTAACCCTATTAGTGGCAGGCTCCTGGTATACCCCTATTAGTGGCAGGGGGGGGGCTGTTTACGACCCCCCCTTGATATCTCGAGATCTAACGGGCCGATTTTCAAAATTCAAACGGCATTCGATTTTGCTCAACGTGATCTACATTTCTAAAAAATAAAAATTAAAAAATGTCAACAGGGGGGGTAGAGGGGGGTAAAAACGGGCAAATTGCAGATACATTTTAGACTGTTTATCACGGCCAGGTTTCTGAACCAATCCTAACGCAACTTTTGCCGATCGATAGAGAATGAACCAGGAATTCACATGGATCCTAAAAATATGCATTTTCAAAAATCATAGGCGGATACAGATCATTGAGATTGGGGGTACACAAAAAGTATAGTAAATAAGGTTTTTGTTGGTACTGTTTCTAAAAAGGGTGGTAATGGTCTTGTTATGTTACAATTTTCTTATGAGAGAACGACTACAATTGTATTGGTCATGCATAGGCGGTGTCAGGGCACCTATGTTGGGAGGTAAAACATAACCCCCCTTTTTGGACGCCTGGATCCGCCTATTATAGCAAAAACGTGTCAAAAGAGGATGCACAATAACTGTATATGTTATCACATGATACCTTTCATTCACTGTTCGTAAAACTGGTGCAGCATCGTGATCTTCGCCCAAATGACTCGCTTCACGAATAGGACCCCCAATTCCCAGTGCTCTGGAGCCGCCCCTGGTAAAGGTATGAACTTGAAATTTTCAGGGAATAAGCCCAATTTAGTTTTAGGAAAAGTCAGAAAATTTCAGCATCGTAGCTTCAGCGGTTTCGGAGATATTCCCGAAAAACCTGAGGGGTGGATAAAAACAACCCCCCCTGCCAGTTGCCACTAATAGGGTTAAAACGCGTGTCAGCTTTGATAAATTCTGAATAAAGTTTGAGATAAAGTGGCAAAACATCAATGTCGGCATTCCCCGTAGATCATTTCTCCCATTTTCGGCTTTCCCCGCAGTCCGGGGCAGCGCCGAAAAAATCACTTCTTTGATATTTTTAGTTTGTGCGCTTAACGGTATGCGAATTCATCAAATGCGCCTGGTATGTTTGAAAGGCAAAAGACTGGCCTCTCGAATGACGCCAACAAGAATAGCTTATGTTGTCTACCTTGCGTGCTACGGGCGTCAGAAAAAAAGTATTCGGCGTTCCCCCAACTTCCCCTATGTAGGATTAACGCTGCGACTCATTGCCTAAATTGGAATCAAGGAAAGACGTGAACATTTAAGACCATGAGATCCACCATGAAATCCCAACTCAATACTCATTGTCATACCAGCAGCGACTGCAGTCAGAGGCGACCGAACACTAACATGCGTTCTGGTCTCTGGATTATTTTTCTCCACAAATCTCCTTTACAATTCGATGTCTAGTGCGTGCAGCTCCTACTTGTGTACAGTCTGTCTTAAAAGTACCGCGCAAAGTGACGGTGGATCCATCAAGCCTGACTGAGGTAGGGCCTGCTATAATTTGAAAGTTACCGAACCAATTGACCTAGGGAATGGACGAGGATGTGAATTGCTTCGGTGACTCAAATTTAGTAGGCCCTTCCTCGGTCAGGCATAATGGATCCACCGTCACTTTGCGCGGTACTTTTAAGACAGACTGTACATACATGACTGCCTCCAGTGACTGACTGCCACTAGCCTCCAGAGGGCAAAAACACCAAAAATAGCAGTTTTTATTAAAAACATTTTCTGCAATGACTTTTGACTCAAGACAGTGATAACATTTATTGTGCCAGCATCGTGTTCCTCTCGTCGAAACGCGTCGAATGAACTAAACGTTGACCTTGAAAGGTCATTTTGAAAAAAGTTGACCTCAGGTCAAGGTCATGACCTGACCGGAAAGGGTCATGCTGCATATCAGTCCATAGGCGGCGGAACGGGGAGGGCACCGGGGCACCGTGCCCCCTTTGATTTTGGCATTTTAACATTAGCCCTATGGGTGTTGCATGGAAAGAGTGGGACCAAAAGTCGGCAGTGCCCCCCGCCCCCTTAAAGGGACTATCCCACCTTTAACATGGGGTTTGAGTTGAGATAGCCAAGTTTGCGGCGAGGTTCAGAAACCACTATCTATCTAGGTTGCAACCCCCGCGGCCTCTTGGTGTTAAAGAAATTCGTTCCCTTCATTTGAAAATGGGCCTTGTACAGTCACCAGCACTTGCTACCCATCACCCCCGGACGGCGGGGGAGCAAGCTACCACCGCCCTTGCAAGACTAGCGCCGCCATGCGCCAAGAAGTGGAAACACCACGTGACTGAGGCCACGTGAGGGCAGGGTCACGTGATGGAGGAGCGGAGCATAGCAGCTTTTGCGCCCGACACTAACTGAAATGCGGCGCTGTGATTGGGCGCCTTAGCATGAATGAAGCCCCGGCGCCAGAATCAGCCGTTCGCCTTATATGGAAGGTTAGCCTGTGCGTTTCACCGTTCTGTGTTGGTTTGAGAGCCACGGCACCATACGAATTGTGAGCCCCTTTGAACGGGTCACCGCCCGAGGCACTGAGGCGACGGCTGTGCGGGCTGTGCCGGGCAAAACCTAGCCTGGTGGGAGAGGTGGGCCAGGGAAAGTGCGATCGAGCAGCCGCACTGGGACGTGGATTGGTATTATCTAACGCGACAAACGATGTCAGCAGCCTCTTCTCGTTGACACAAAAAGTTTGAC